AATTCAGCTGCCTTGGGGCTCACAAAAATGCAGTTTTTCATTTCAAATAGACCCCGAAAATCCCAATGGCCACATACAAGCCATTCCTAGTCTATGAGGTTAATGCAACAGACCTGCCATCATCAGGCCAAGCACTCTGCACTGCTTTTTCTCATGAAAGGTTCCCCTACTCATGAGAACTATGCATGTGAGAGAGGCCAGCGAAGGTCAGGGCCGAGGTTCTTAGGCGTGAAGATCTGCCCTGTGCAAAGCCAGATGTATCACACAGGGATCAACCTAGGACTCCCACATCAACTTACTTTTCTGCTTACAAAATGCCTAAGGATTTAACCAGGGGAGCACAGTCCATTCCCATAGAACCCATCAGACGAGCCATGTGCCTTATTTCCAATGCCATTGTTATGCACCCAGAACTCACTCTCCACTGTTTATCAACCTTTCAATCATCCCACAAACTCACAGGTCAAAATTAATCAGCAGAGTGGGAAGCCTTCAGGACATCTCTGAGCAAGGATCTTCCTACTGATTTGGAAATGCTGCTTCTAACTTTCCTCATACAAACTACATTCGGGATTCAACAAAACACAAATTCAAGTCTAGTCTAACATAATGTACCAAGGAAGATGCTTTATATAATAATCAACCTTCCAGTATTTTTCTTCCCTTTCTTCCATCTCCAGCAAGTTTATCCTTTAATATTTAACAGACTACAACAAGGATCCACCTGAGAGGAGGGCACTGCCATGGGAAACCAGCCGGAATGATTTAGAATTCAACAGAAAACTAGTTTAAGTTGTTAGTTGATATGGAAAACCATTTTCCCTATCTACAAAGCTCTGACTTAGTTTTTTACTCAGCCACCCAAAATGTAATCTTCCTATCTTCACATTTTTTGCATCTCCCATTAAAAAAAAATGTCTTCCTTTCTTTCTATCTCAATAAGGTTTGAATCTCACTTATTGCCCATTCAGATTCAACAAAACTTGCATTGCAAGCCTAACCATGTGCTGGGCAATGCATAGTCAACTCAGTCTATTATCCAGAGATTTGTCATTTTACAGATGAAGGAACAGGGAGGGGCTCCATTAAGTTCAATGACTTGCCTGCTCTCAAAGACCTTGCACATGGCATCATTGGAGTTTCCAAGTCTATGCTTTCAGTGGGAACTCCAGGTGAAAATTTTCCCCAGGATTGCTTGAATCTGGCTTTATCCTTCTGGAACCTTGCTCAAGGTAAGTTACATGGCTTGGGAAGGGGTTTCTGCTACTGGCAATCTCAGCTTGAAATCCAGGAGTAGAGGCAATTTGCAGAAGGATAAATGCAGCTACTGCACATTGCAAACAACCTTCATGGGGGACCTTCTCCCTGGGTTCAAATAACCAGAAATTAATTCCTCCTGGTTTGTGGATTTAGTCCAAAGGTTCATAACTAACATTATGTCAGGTCTTATTCCTTTATGTCATTTCTATTCTCTAATCGCTACATTGTTAGCTGAAAGGGTCAGAGCACACAATTAGTGAGGCAGGACTAAGCCCTCTTTTCCATCCCCATGCAGACCAACAGGCAGGCACACCGACCCTCAGCTGGCCCAGCAGGTGCTGGTCATACCAGATACTCAGAGGGCTAGGAGTCAGGGCTTACAGGGGAAGAGGCGGGGCATTCTACAGCTGACACTAAAACCAAGCAAAATACAATGTATGCTGACATGACAACTACTACTACTAATTATGATATCACTTCAGAATTTCAAGGCATGACCATTCACAAAACATAAATGTTATGTGAAAACCTACCAAAAACATAATGTATCTCTATCACCAAATGGGGGGGGGGGGGGGGGGGGG